CTAACTCTAGAACATACTTCCTCCTGACATGTCGATCTTGATGTTGTTCATTAAATAGCTGAGCTGTTCTATTCGCACATTTATTGTTCATAAAGTAAAGCGAAATGATATCTACCCTTTCCGCAATGGAATAAACCATAGTGTTTAATTTCCAAAAACAATTAAATAAACTACCAACCAACGCTTCCAAATAATACTAGAAAATAATTTGGATTCCACTAATTTTACGTTCATTCTGTGTGTATTCATTCTCTGTTCATTTCTGTTTTGTACAATTGTGTTCTTTTTACGGAAGTGATAACAAATTGCCAAAAATCAATGTAACGCAAGAAATACTAAATTGGCGTACTTAACTCGAATGACTGACATTTTTACCGTTACTAATTGTTTGTACTTAAGTTTCAACTTTAAAATCAAAATTCTTAATAAGTATTGAGCGGAATTATAAAATTTAAAGTCTGTTGAAAAGAGAATTGTAAGAGCTTTCAAAAGAACTATACTCAACCCCCAATGTCATTTAAATATTTTGGGGTGATGCTTACCCTTGCTTGGGGGTGAAAGTGGCGAAGTCAAAAATACCAGCAAAGAATGTCCCCCTTTAATCTAAAATCGACGGGTCTCAGCGTTTTTCTACAATCTTGACGCAGTTCCTGAAAATGGCTGTTTCGTTTTCATTTGGGCACCCTGTATGTATCTCTAAATATGTTTCCTTTTTTGAAGATGTTATAAAAATAATAATGACCATAATAATTTTTAATAGTATAGAACAGCCACTCAAATTCATTTCTCGCTAAATAAATGTATTTCTTAAAAATCTCGTAGAGAAATATTTATTACATGTGGTGAAACGATTGTTGTATAAAAGGCAACTTTGTAAGCATTGAGAAAGAGTCAAGTTTAACTTTAAGAGAAACCGCAAATATTACTTGTATGCATAAGGAGCAGCTAATGTGCTTAAGAAATTCATTTTTGTATTTACATCACAGTTAGCAGCTTTGTAGCAATGTAGGTACTGAATGAATTAGTGACGAAAATACCAAGGGTATTAAAAATTCATTAATTCAATAATAGTAATACTATTCTTGGTTACAATTTTTGAATACATAAAAATTGAAGTAACCAGAAAGTAAGTGAATCTCGATTGCGAATTATGTACCGGATGATTCAAATTGGTCGGTTTCCAAGGGTTACTGCAAATGTATCTTGATGGCACAAAACAAGTAAATGTAATATTTTTAGTTTTGACCACAACTTGGAACTGTATTTTATTTCAAAAACGGAAAGAGGGCCAAAAATGTATTCCAAAACGATATACTTTTCTTATTAATTTTTATATAGATTTACGGAAAATATAAAATTTTCAAAATACCAACGATCGGTTTTGAAAACATAGTTTAACATTATTAGAAGTGTTTATAAAAATTAAAAATGGTTCTTTACTCAAATGAAGACAAATACAATTTAATAAAATGTTTTAATCTAAGAAAGGAAAATGCAGACTTAGCAAGGGATCTCTGTTTTCTATTGTAGGTAATGAAATACGTTTGATATGCATTAAATTTTAAGGTATCCATATTTAAGAATTTTCGCAAAACTAAAATTTGACTTGAATGCTTACGGATCTTACACTATCAAGGAACAAAATTTACAACAGAGCTAACCGAGAAGAGCACGACGAAACCCTCATACCTCATAAAGATAAATAGAAGTAGATAGTGGTGTTAAACGGAATACAACCTTCAGAATACTCAAAAAATTATTATTTTTTCAAAAACTTTAGTACCATATTTTGAATAACACCACTAACAATAAGTCTTCTATTCTAGTTGTCTAGTTGATATAATTAGGATTTTGTCTTACGTGTAAAGAGCATCATTTTCTTACTCTTTGCGATTAGTCTTGCTGTAAATTTTGTTTAGTGTAAGATACATGAGTGTTCAAGTTATTTCAAATTTTTGGTAAATTCTTTAACTTGATCGTGATTTCTGTGGATTTAAATTGTATTTGTCTTCAATTGAGTAAAGATTCATTTTTGATTTGTGTCAATACGTTTCCAATAATGTTGAACGTTAAACTTAATTGTTTTCAAAGCCTTCTCAGTCATAAATCTTAAATCTCGTTTGCATTTTGAAAATTTTATATTTTCCGCAAATCTTCACAAAAAATAGTAGGTAAGTAAAGTATATATTTTTGGAATGCATTTTTAGCACTCTTTCCGTTTTTGAAATAAAATACAGGGTGTTCCATATAAAAAACACAAGTTGTGGTCATGTCACAAAAACTAATAATATTATCACATTTATTTTTATCCCATCGAATGAATCGAAAAAGTGCCTGTAAAATGTTCAAACAGTTTTAAGATGTCTTGAAAGGGAAACGAGAAAACGGCAGAAGTCGGTTTAGACAAAAATCGAGAAACGCCCTGTAGCTTGAAAATGGTAACAGATAGAGAGATGCGGTTTGCGCCATTGTTATTTTCTCAAGAAAAATGTTCTGGACTTGTCTATCAGATTTGCTCTATCTATGACTTAAATTTACTCTATTAGGGTGTTAAGCTAACTCAAACAATTTTTTTCCTAAAAACATCGTATCAAATGAGGTCAACCGATGTTCTTTGATACAAAAAATTTGGTATATAAAACTGATGATATTGTGGGAAACAACTACTACTTGCCCCAAGCATTGAACTATACCAACAATAGCTAGTAATTAAAAATTATCCAAAAATAAAAATAAAAAGTAATATGTCTAATTATTAGAAGTATCTTGTATTTTTGTTGTTCTAACATCACCTTTGACAAAGGCTAATTCTTATAACCATAGAAAGATCTTACTATTTCCACGTTTTATTTGGATCGTTTCTGCTGGTGATCTTAAGAAAACACAAAATCTAATCGTTTTTTTAGTTGCTTCCAGATTGGAACAAACGCATTTTTTTTCTAAACAGGTAGGTTTTCGAAACGTTAATAATTTTTTGAAGTCAGCGATGTGTAGTGAGGTGTGTTTTGTATTTTGAATTTGTTTTGCTTTTTTCAGTGTGTGATTTTTGGTTAGGCCAAATTATTATCGTAAAAATAATCCTTGATTAATTTGGGTTAGTTTAATTAATTTTTTAATTTTTTCTGGGAAAC